CCTCCCCATCACAGCACATCGCATCACATCACCATGACACACACACGGAGCTTGAGCTTGCACGAGCGGTACAGTGTTGCGAGGCGCAGCGTTGAGTCGCCGTCGATCGTGGCGGCTGCTGCGCTTGTGCACCTCGATGCGGCCGATCAGGCGTTTGCACAGCTGGAGGCGCATCTGGCACAACGCATCGACAGCGCGCTGCTACTCTACCCTCTGCTGGGATACTGCGTCCAATCACCCCGATCTCGCAAGCCTACTTGGGCCCCTATGGCACGCGCACCGACATCGAACGATATCCTGCAAGTAGGACCCACAGTCGATGGGGTGGTTGGACAGAAGATCATGGCACAGGCATTACTGGGGGCTCAGCTCAGCCTGCCCAAGACGAGTGCGCTCGAAACGGGACCGCTGTGGCAAGTTCAGCTGCACCGCGTACAGGCTTCCCAAAGCGCACTCGTGGTGCTGGCTACGGACCATGTGATCAACGATGGACGCGGAACGCTCAACCTCTTTCGCTTCCTCCTCCAGGCTTCGGCCCCGGTCAATGCTCCTGCGGCAGAGATGCCCAAAGCATCGGATGTGGTGTTCGACTTCAAGCCGTCGGTGCGGTACATGCTCGGGATGGTGTGGAAGGAGTTATTGCTGCCTAAACTGCCGCTTCCAGGCAAGTTGGCCACCAAGCTACGTGGGCCCGTATCGTGGCCCCAAGCACCCGTCTCTGCGCAGACGAACGAGGTGGCGCGTTGTCCCAAAGACTGCGCACCAGCGCTCGACATTATGCTCGTCTCGGCGCCACAACTCATCACCAACCTCAAGCAGCTTGCCCACGCACACAATCCGGCGCAGGGGAAGCCAGCCACTCTGCATGCAGTCGTACATACGCTCGCTCTAGCAGCCCTGTATGCTGCCATTGCGCAACCTCTCGAGGCCCACGCTTTGCACAAGTTCGAGATGGTGTTCCGTACAGGTACGCCGATTTCGCTTCGAACCGATGCGCCAGCGTTGCCCGAGGTGTCGGGCAACTATGTCTCGTCGTATACGTGCAAGACCACCCTGCGTGGCAACGTGCCGTTTTGGACCGAGGCCAATCGCTTCTCCACCAAGCTCGCCAGTCCCCGTGGAAGGGATAAGGCAAAACACCATATGGGGATGCTCGCCTACATTCCGGACTTTGAAGGTGATGTTGAGGCATACGCTAATGGATGGGAGAAGTTCTTCGGATCCCGCATGGAGTCAAGCACACCTTTCGATGCCGCATTCACCGTCAGCAACCTCGGCATGATCGACGTTTCCACCCTCCATGGCGAGGGATGGAAGGTGAAGGATGCCACTTGGGCTCAGTCACATACGCCTCAGGGAGAAGCATTCGGAATCGACGTTCTTGGATACAACACCGCAGACCAACAGTGTCTCAGCATCGGACTCTCTTCCCGTCCATCTGCTTTCCAGGATAAAGCTCTCCACAATAGGTTTGTGGCTTACCTCAACCACCTCGTTCGTGCCTTTGCAAGCACACCGGAGCACGAAAAGCCGCAGGATCTCGATCTCGACTCCAACCCTTCCTTTGCAGATATCGCCCTCCTCCTCTACTCGGCCCTCCCCAACGCTTAAACCTCTTCTCGAGCCTTTCACTTGTAGATGCCCGCTTGTTTATACGCCCCGCACGCCGTGCACAAATGGACAATCTTTAGCAGAAGAAAAATCGTGTTCATTCGTGTCTGTGAACCAGTCCCGCGCGCCGTGCCCAGCCCAAGTTGCGCATGCTTCTCTACGCCGCACCTGCAGCTGCGGGCTTAAAAGTGACTTCCGAAAGCGTGTTGAAGGCCTCGCGATAGGCGTCGAGGAGCTGCTTGACGCGCTTCCTCTCGCTGGTCAAGCCCTCGTCCTCGTACAGCAGATCCTCAAAGAGCGCCTCCTTGTACAGGCTCGCCACGAGCCGATTCTGGACGCTCTCGCGGCTAAAGTTGACGAGCAGATGCATGATCGCCTTGGGCACCAGATCCTGGATGCCCTGGCGCACAATGTTAAAGTAGCTCGCTATCAACGAGCGGATCAGCGTCGTCTCGAGCTCCTCGCGGTCCGACAGCGCATACTCGTCCGACGAGATCGGCGTCGCCTCCAGATGCTTGTCCAGCGACTTCATGTCGTACGCCGCCGAGTTGCCCTCCAGCCCCGTGCGCCCCGACATGGCGTTGGGCTTGTGCTCCCGCACCGTGCTGTACTCGGCCAGACGCGCCGCAGGCGCAGGCGCATGGTAGCCACCCAGCCCCGACGCAGGCCCCGCCCCTCCCACGGGCAGCCCGGATGCGCCACCGAAAAAGTAGTTGAGGAACGTGTCCTTGGCTCCTCCTCCGCCAGCGCCCGAGCCGTTGGCAAACGAGCTGCCGGACGCGTGACCGATGGTGTGGTGGCGTCCGCCCTCGGGCGCAGATGCCGAGTGCGGGCGCGAGTCGTGCGAGGTGGAGCTGGAGCGCTCCTTCTTGTCGCGCCTGCTGCCGCCGGTCTTGGAGCTTCCGTTGACGGTGAGGCTGCGCGCATTGGGACCGTTGACGCTATCGGCGTCGTCGTCGTCCGACAGCTCGGCCGACACGTCGGCGGCGTCGTCAAACGACGCCTTGCGCCTCGACGACGACGGGAGCATGGCGACCTGCTTGCGCGCCTGCGTCTCGCGCTGCTCGCGCGCAATGTTGGCCGAGTCGTGCACGAACGCCGGGTGGTTGGTGTTGATGTAGGCCGCCTGGATCTGGATGAGGCTCTGGACGTACTCGGAGGTGGGGCCGAGACGCTCGCGGAGCAGCTCCGAGACGACCTCGATGAGCTGCGCATGCAGACGCGGGAAGCGCTGGAGCTCGGAGCTGGTGCAGTTGTGGCAGATCTTCATGAGCTCCTCGTAGACGAGTTCGACGCAGCGCAAGCTGGGCGGCTCGAGCAGCTTGATCTGGGGCTTGATGAGCAGCTCGAAGGCGGCCTCGGGGACGAAGAGCGAGGGGCGCGGGCCGGTGGAGTTGCGGATGGCGGTGCGGATGTCCTGGACGGTGAGGTTGTGCGTAGGGTTGATGCTGGTGAGCGCGTGGCCAAAGACGTCTTGGAAGATGTAGTAGATGCGCGCGCCTCCGCAGAGCTCCTTGGTGGAGATGTCAAAGGTGGTGCCGTCGATGGAGGCGACAAAGTCGCGCGCAAACTGGGTCATGAGCTTGAGGACGAGCGAGCCGCGGTGCTGGTCGCCGAGGAAGGTGGTGTCGCCGAAAGCGGCGAGCTCCTGCTGGGTCTGGCCCATGAGCGTGTTCAGGCGCGCCTTCATGTCGGGCAGCTTGTCGCGGATGTGGCTCATGAGCACCTGGTTGAGCGTCTTTGCGAGGTACTTTGTGCCGCAGCGGTGTGCGATGTTCTTGTAGGCGGCGTGGGAGCGGAAGAAGTCCTCCTCGGCCCTGCGTGCGGCGAGCATGGAGACGTTGCCGTTGATGTCCTGCTGGGAGCGGTTGACGACGCCGATGAAGCCGAGCTTGAGCGGGTAGACGCGGCCGGTGAGGATGTCGAGGGCGTGGGTGCCCTGGTCCATGAGGTCGAGCTTGGTGAGCACGCCGATGGTGCGGCGGCCCTGCGGGTCTACGGTGCGTGCGAGCTTGAGGCTGTCCGAGTTGGCGAGGTCGACGTTGGCGGGGCTGACGGCGAGGATGATGCAGTTGGGCTTGGAGACGTAGTCGGTGACGAGGTTGCGGATCTGGCGCTCGATGTCGCTGGGCTGATCGCCGACGGGGATCTTTGTGAGGCCGGGCAGATCGACGAGCGTGAGGTTGAGCACGTTGGGGCTGTAGATCTTGAGGTGGATGGGGAGTTTGGAGACGCCCTTGTTTTGGCCTGCTACGCGGAAGGTCTCGTTCTCGATTTCGCGGCGGATCTCGTTGAAGTCGGTGAAGCGCTTGTCGAGGTGGAGGAACTCGCCGTACTCGTCGTAAGTAGGTGTTCTGCCGTTGGCGGCGGACGAGGATGCGTGGGAGCCGCGGAGGAGCTCGGGCTGGGGGCCATCATCGTTGAGGTCGTAGGGGCGCGAAGATGCCTGCTTGGCCTGGTCCTTGGCGGAAGGGGTGTGGATGAGCTGGAGGACGAGCGGGCGGCGGGTGACGATGCCGCTGCCTCGGGGCAGGAAGTCGCGACCGACGATGGTCTCGAGCACACTCGATTTGCCTGCGGATTGGGAGCCGACKACGACGATCTGGGGCAGGTCGACCGAGTCGCCGCCGATGGCGGTGAAGGTCTCCTGGAGCTTGTTGACGACCTGGATGAGGTCTACGTCCATGGTGGGCGAGATGTGCGCAAGGAGATGGGAGGGTCGCTCTAGCTTGAGGAGGAGGCGCGCTTGTTTGCCGCGCTGCTAAGGTCCAGTCGGAGCCGAGGTACGCGTTGGCGCGATGGGATGCGGTGCAGTGCGGTGCGGTGCGTATCGAAGGGCCTTGATGATGGCTGCGAATGCGAATGCTGCACGCCCGACGAGGAAGATGGGTGGGTTTGAGGAGGTGGTGGAAAGGGCGATGTGGATGTGGATCTGCCGCTTGATTGAGCGGGCAAGAGAGGGTGTTGCAGCCCAGTTGACGGGGGAATGCAGGCCAAGCGAGGCGACAAAGAGCTCTGCTGCTGCGCGCCTGGGCGAAGAAAGCAGCGACGGCGACGGTCGGGCTGAGCAGTCGAGTTGGCTCGCTGGCTGCCTCTCTCCCCTCCCTCGCTCCCTCTCATGCCTCTCTGGCGCGTGTGTGTTTTTGTGTTGGATCGAGCGAGCGAGCGAGCGAGCGGAGCGGATTTGTGCGTCTGTGTGCGTATTTTGGCTGCAGCTCGACACGGCATCCAACCAGAGGCTGCGCGCGTGTTGCTCTCTCTCTGCCTTTTCGGAGCTATTTTCAATTTCGCCCATCGCAGCAGTCAGCCAGTCAGCCCGTCAACCCAGTCAGCCCAGCCAGTCGAGCCGTGACCTCATTTCTTCGCAGCACTGCACACGGGATTTTCGGACGGCATTTTTCTCTCGCTCGCTCGCTCGATCCCGGCGTGAAGGAGACCTGTTTTGCTCTAACGGTCGCGCGCTGCGGTCGTCGCAGCCCGACAAGGCCAAAAATTCCTCCCGCTTCCCCCACAGCCACTCTTGGCCTCTCGAGGCCTCACCATCCCCACATTGCACATGCCTCACTCAAATCCCATCTTCAATGCACAGACGCACACTGTCCGACATCTAGCGATACTGTGTATGGATTTCTTTCGGGTTGGGAGGGGAACATGTGCACAGGAGAAAACAGGACCGCGTGGATTGGACGCAGCCCCGGTGCTCACTGTCAAGCCAAGCTCGGCGGACCGTCCCACAGCGAGGCACGTTGGCATTCATCGAGCGAGCGACTAGGGGCAGCGTCGGCCGCAACTGTGAGACGAGCTACCGACGCTCTTGTTCGAGGCAACGCACGCCCACATTTAGGCAAGGAAGCTCTTGACGTGCTCGGTGACGAGCGCCTTCATCTTGCTGAAGAGCTCGTCGCTGGGCTTGCCGGCGGCGATCTCGGCGAGCAGGGCGTCCTCGGTCTGGAGCTTCTCGCGGAACGAGTTCTCCCACTCGACGATGCGGTCGGCGGGGATCGAGTCGATCAGACCGTTGACACCGGCGTAGATGATGGGGATCTGCACCTCGGTGGCCATGGGCACGAACTGGGGCTGCTTGAGCAGCTCCACAAGGCGCACACCACGGTTCAGGGTGGCGCGGGTGGCAGCGTCCAAGTCCGAACCGAACTGGGCGAAGGCAGCCAGCTCACGGTACTGGGCGAGCGAGAGCTTGAGCGAACCCGAAACGGCCTTGTACAGCTTCGACTGGGCAGCCGAACCGACACGCGACACCGAGAGACCGACGTTGATGGCGGGTCGGATACCCTTGAAGAACAGCTCCGACTCGAGGTACACCTGGCCGTCAGTGATGGAAATGACGTTGGTGGGAATGAAGGCCGACACGTCACCACCCTGGGTCTCGATGACGGGAAGAGCGGTGAGCGATCCACCGCCGTGGGTGTCGTTCATCTTGGCGGCACGCTCGAGCAGACGAGAGTGGAGGTAGAAGACGTCACCGGGGTAGGCCTCACGACCGGGGGGACGACGCAGAAGCAGCGACATCTGACGGTAGGCGACGGCCTGCTTGGACAGGTCATCGTAGATGATCAGGGCGTGCTTGCCGTTGTCACGGAACCACTCGCCGATGGCGCATCCCGAGAAGGGAGCGAGGTACTGCAGAGGAGCGGCCTCCGAGGCGGTGGCGGCAACAATGATGGTGTACTTCATGGCGTCGTTCTCCTCGAGCACCTTGACGAGCTGGGCGACGGTGGAGCGCTTCTGGCCGACGGCGACGTAGACACAGTAGAGCTTCTTGCTCTCGTCCTGGCCGTCGTTCCAGCGCTTCTGGTTGAGGATGGTGTCGATGGCGACGGCGGTCTTACCCGTCTGACGGTCACCAATGATCAGCTCACGCTGACCACGGCCGATGGGCACCATGGCGTCGATGGGCTTGATACCAGTCTGCATGGGCTCCTTCACCGACTGACGCGGAAGAATACCGGGCGCTTTGAGCGAGGCACGGCGACGCTCGGCGGCCTCGATGGGTCCCTTGCCGTCGATGGGGTTGCCGAGCGCGTCGACGACACGGCCGAGCATGTTGGGGCCGACGGGCACGTCGACAATCTGGCCGGTACGCTTGACAGTGTCACCCTCACGGATGAGACGGTCCGAACCGAAGATCGAGACACCGACGTTGTCGGCCTCGAGGTTGAGGGCCATGCCGCGGACACCGGACGAGAACTCAACCATCTCCTCGGCCATGACGTTGCGGAGGCCGTAGACACGGGCGATACCGTCACCGATGGTGAGCACACGGCCGGTCTCCTGGACATCGCCGCCAGCGGAGGCGCCCGAGATGCGCTGCTCAAGGATGGAGCTGACCTCGGAAGCGGCTGTTGTGCGGTCGAACAAAAAAAGTATCGAGTGGATGAGGGGGGTGGGATGGTCAGTGGGACAGCGTTCGAAAAGACAGAGGACAGCATGATGCTGGTGGTCGACCTGCACTTACCAGGCTTGGCGGTGGCGTAGGTGCGGACGGCGTTGGCAACCGATCGGCGGGCCTGTGATGAGGACAAGCAGGAGCGGGAAGGCAGAGCAAGGTCAGCGGTGGTGTCCGATTATTTTTTTGATTCGATGGTGAGGTGGGTTGAGATGGGCGGTGACGCCATCGCTTGGATCTGGGCAGCAGCGACAGCTTGGAAGATGCGATGTTGATCGAGAATGTGTTGCAGGACGGCTGATGCGGTCGATTTGGTTGAAAGGGTATCAAGTTTTGCAGTGTCTGGTCGCTGGCTCGATGATCTCCGCTTCCTGCGAACACCCGGCCAGGATGCTCTGCTTGGGTGTCACAGAGGAGCCCGCGACATGGCAAGCACATCGCAGGGTAGAACTGAGAGCAGTGCAGAAGACAGCAGTACCAAAGACAGGTCTACGTCTAGCTTCTGTCGATGATTGCAACGAGCGTTTGCTAAGGGAACCGGGGTGATGCTGATGATGAAGATGATGATGATGATGCTGGCTGTGTTGTTGGGCGTAGTCCTCGACATCGACGAGCGAAAAGCTGTGACGCTGGCGATGGGGGTGCGAGGGCTGTTGATGTTGCAAAGGCCGAGATGGATCGGCGCTCGAGCACCGCATCTTCCAAGCTGGATGTTTGGGTGTGTCTGTGCTGCGGACGATCACGGCGGGACCAAGACGGCAATCATACGTACCACAGGGACGGCGGCCGATCGGGCGAGGTTGGCGGTGGCAATGCCGGCGGAACGAGCGAGCATCGCGGCGACTATGAAGACGGGGGGACGATACGGGAAAGTGGGAGGTGGTGGAAGGGATGCGGATGAGGAGCGAAGAGGGAGAAGGAGGGCGGAAGAGGGGGGGCAGCGAGAAGATTCAGCGCTTGGGCGGCGGCGGCGGGCGCGGGCGAACGAGGGAACGCTGCCCAACCAGAATGGGCAGAAGCCGCCCAGCCTGTGAGACGACCGGAAGGTCACCGCTCTCTCCCTCCCTCTCTCTCTCTCTCTCTCTCTCTCTCTGTGGCTCTCTTGGAGATGCGAGAGGCTGGCGGCTGCCACCGTGCGGCGCGCCGTCGTCTTTGTTGGAAGCTGCTGCTACTGCCTGCTCGCCTACACTGAGCTGGCTCCAACGTCGCTTTCGATCTCAAAAGACTGTCCCCAAACCGACAGAGCCGGGCACTAGCGCAGTGAGTTGAATTGGTTGGATGATTCAACGATTGAATTGCGCTCGACTACAACCGCTTGAAAACGTGAGCGCCAGAATTGTAGTGGCAGCGCCAGTCAAGACTTTTTTTCTCCATTCGAAAATTGGGACGTGCTGCTGCTCCAGAGCCCGGGCGTGGACCAGTTGCTCACGGATCCGAACCACGCTTTCCCCCAGCAAGGTCCAAAGGCGCCGAGCCAAGGCGTGCGCGCGGGCCCTTCGCTTTCGATCAGCCATGGATGGAAGGGCCGGGGCTTCGTTCCGTGCTCTACCGAGCCGACCTTTTCTCACGCGGTGTTGAGGGGACTCTAACATGCTCAACGTGGCCCGACACCTCTGACCGCCAAACCGAGCGCATACGACGTTCCGAAGCTTGATCCAGAGCCTGTCTACACTTTGAGTATGGAAGCGAGCTGAGTGACGTGCTCGATCCGGAGTCTTCGCCACCTTGCCCGCCGCCATCCAGGTCAAAGGAGCACGGTCCGATCACTCGGGAGATGCAGTGTTGCGCTGGGATGCGAAGAATCTCGACAGAGCCCAGAAAATCCGAATGGGCGGTATCGTGCGAGTGGAAGCCTTGCATTTTTGGGAGCTGTGACATCGGGCGAGTGAGGGCGGGTTGAGAATTTCCCGCAGAATGGAAGCTTTCCAGGCGAGCTGTTGGGATTTTTTGAAGCAAGCCTCAAGCGACTGCCGCCATCGTAGTCGCTACTACCGTCTTGCCTATTCCACACGGTCACCTTTACGCATCGCATCAGCTAGTCGTTCGAGGCTGGCTCGACCCGCGCGAGGATATCACCGCCATGAACGCACTCAAGACCTCGCTCTCCGCCATCACCAATGCCACCTTCAAGGGCAAGGCCAAGCAGGTGTCTCCTCTGCTTTCCTCGGCCGTTGCCGGGCGTAGCTTGAACACCTCCGCCAGCTCGTCGTCAGCCTCTGCAGCTGCAGCGGCGGCATCTTCGTCTGTATCTGGATCGGCACTTTCTGCAGAGTCGGCGGTAGCCTCCAACGAGCGCGCGCTGGCGCTTCTCAAGACGCAGCCCAACCACTACGCAGTAGCGTCCATCACGGGTCGAACGTACCTCGTCTCGAAAGGCGATCTGGTCACCGTGCCGCGTCTGAAGGATGTCCAGGTTGGAGACGTGCTTGTTCTCGACAAGGTGCACGAGATCGGATCGCGCGACTACACCTTGCGTGCACAGGACACGCTCAACACGCGTCGAATCTCGAGCGCCGTAGACCTGGCTTCCACCACCCCGGGCACCTTGAGGGGCGTTTCGCCCGCAGTGACCCCGCAGGCAAGACGTCTACTCACCCGTCTAGCCACACCCGAATCGCGCAGCCAGCTGCTCCCTCTCGCAGACACCTGGTCGTCCAGACTCATCCCCAACGGTCTCGCCCACATCGGCGCTAGCCTCCCACAATCGTCGGTCAAGATCACCGCCGTCGTCACAGAAAATACAAAGGGCGCTCTCGAAAAGATCCTCAAGAAGAAACGCAGAAAGGGCTACAAAAAGACGGTGCAGCACAAACAACCCTACACCCGAATCCGCATCGAAGACATCCAAATCCAACCCAACTAGCCTCTTCATCACATCATGTACTTTATTTCATTCCCATCTCACGGCGCTTCAATTAGTCATTGACCACGGATTGGTGGTCGCATGTCATTAGGATCGTCATGTACTGCTGCCGCGAGAGCGTGTGACTAGTGTACAAGGCGTGCGGTTTTAGGACTGCGATGAAAAGCTCGATTGCGAGTCGGACGTGTGCATGGCCGCTGCCTTGGCCGCCGCCTTTCTGCGCGCGTATGCCGCGACCTGTGCGCCGAGATCAAAGGGGCTCTCCTGGCCCGGTGCAGTGAGACCAGCCGAGGCCTTGGGCGTCGACTTGCGCGACGTCGAGTCCCAGCCCGCCGAGGGAGACGCGAGTGCCAGTGCGGCGCCGGCCTCGTCCTCGGGCACCGACTCGAGTGCCGTGGGCTCAAACGAGAACTCGCCCGAGCCGCGCGGCTCGTCGTCGTCCATCTCAAACGAGTTGGACGCCGCGCTCTGCACCGACGGACTGCGCGCTTCGAGCGTCTGCAAAGCACGCGCGCGCGCCAGGTCTAGCGACGACAGCGACCGCCGCGGCATCGCACCCTCCGCATAGCTGTGCGACGCCTCAAACACGCCTTCCTTGCCCGCGCTGCCCAGGTCGAGCGGCGAGCCCAAAGCCAGCGCCTGCAGCCCGTTGACCCCCTCGTGTGCGGCAGCCTCGTTGGTGGCGATGCCTGCCTGGCTGAAGGTGTCGCCTGGAGCGATGGGCGATAGCACCGAGTGGTGGCGTTGGTCACGCATCGCCCGGCGCGTATGGATCACATCGCTCAGCTCGGACATCATGCTCGACGGGTCCAGCGTGTGTCGGTGAGCCGCCTTGTCCGCCGCCTGCTTCTCCTCTCGTTGCCGCCGCGCAAGCTCGATGCGCTCTGCCCGGCTCGCCTTGCCATCCGCCCCACCGAGACCAGAGAGCCCAGCCATGCCCGCGATACTCTCAAACACCTGCTCCAGCCCGGGCGGCGGCAGCGAATTGGGCGACGTCGAGCGCAGCAGAAGCTCGGCGAGATCGCCATCATCCTCATCGTCGCTGCCGTCTTGCTGGTGCAGCAGCGCCGACTCGCCCTCATCCTGCCTGCTCGTCTCCGCCTGGCCCGGCGTGGTGGCTGCATCCTCATCCGCCTCGAGCGGCGACTGCAGATCGCGCGCGCCCCGGAAGCTCGCCAGTTCGGATTCGACTTCGCTGCCCAGATGCGGACTCGGCGATCGCCGCTTCTCCTTGTGCAGGAGCTTGATGCTCGCCTCCCACTCGGCGGACAGGCCGAGCAGATCGTCGCGCATCGACTCCATCGTCCGCTCGAGCTGGACGATGCGCGTGCGATCGTCGGTCTGCGTTGCATGCTCTGGCGATCGGGAAGGCCCATCGCCCACGCCGTGCAGACCAGGCGGCACACTGACGCTGATGTCTTCGGCGCACACGCGGATCTTGGCCTGCAGAGAGCGCAGCGAAAGCATCATTGCGTGCAGCCGATCCTCGAGCCCCGGATGTCCGACGATTGAAGGCACGCCTGTTTCTGCTCCGGGCACCGTCAAACCGCCGTTTCGAGACTCGGGCCTGTCCGTGCTTGCAGGAGGAGCGGAGCCACGGCGTTTCTCGCCGAACAGCTCGCCTCCCATTTCTTTCGCCACGGCGTCCTTGACGTCTTGTTCCTTGGCAGACAGCAGAGCCGACGGGCCAGAAATGACCGCCCTAGCAGCCGTCCAGTACTCGTCCAGCGGCAGACTGGCGCCATTGGGCAGCACCACGTCGTCTGCCGTCCTCAGAGGCAGTGCGAGCAAGTGGCAGAGCCAGCGTCGACGCGCCCTGTGCATGTGCTCGAACTTTGCCTTGATGCTGAGCAGTGACAAGGGATCGAGAGGCTCCGCGCGCGATACACCTGCAGCGGCTGGATCCACGTGCGCAAAGATCGAGTTGGGCCCGAGGATAGAGCTGCGCTTGGTGGCTCTCGATTGCGGGCTCGTGGCAGCCGAATAGGTCTGCAGCGACGAATGTGGCGGCGTAAAGACCGACGAGACCATGGACGAGTTGCGCAGCATGGGCGAGATGGATCCGGTCGCGGCGGACGAGTTGGAGATGTAGCTGAGGCGTTTTGCCGCCGCCGACTCGTTGGGTCCCGAAGGCGCCGACGACTTGTCCGAAACATAGTTGAGACGGGGAGAGCGGTACGCGTTGGCTGCGCCCGAGTCCGAGACGAGACTGCTGCGGCGAGAGAGGGAAGAGATGGTGCGGGGCGGGCGGTCGAGAACCGATCCGGCGTCCGACACGAGAGAGAGCCTCTTGTGGCTCGACGGCCCGACCTGGGGGCTGAAGTCGGAGCGCCAGGATGCGTCGGAAGCGTTGTTGGCATCCGCCGAGCGGATGTTGCTGCCAAAGTTGCGGGGTGTGGTTGCGACCCAAGTCTTGCGATCGGCATCGAGATTAGCAAAGCCGTCGGAGAGGGCCGACGTGTCGGCCACGGACCAAGCCTGCGACACGTCGGCTTCGTTCGAGTCATCGAGCGGAGCGGCGTCGAGGGCATACAGCTCGTGGAGGCTAGCCACCTCTTCGGGATCGGCAAGCTCCTGCAAGGGCAAGAGTGACGACGCGCAAGCGGCGGCGGTCTCGTCCAAGGCGGCAACGATGTTCTTGCGCAGCTCGACAAGCCTCTGCGGAGGTGGAAGATCAGCCGCCACCGAAGCGACGGTGCTCTGCTCTGCGAGCAGCTTCTGCGTCATGTCGGGATCGGCGAGTTCGCCCAAGACGGCCGGCGATGCGCGACCGGAAGAGCGATCGAAGGGCGAAGCACGACCGCTGGACAGAGTGAGCGACAGAGGTCGCTGCGTGTGTCGCTTGATGGTAGGAGCGCTCGATCGCCCTCCCGAGAGGGTTCTGGACAGCTTGCCGGTGGCAGGCAGGGTGGGTGCCGCCAAGACGCGGCGCTGCCGGGATGGAGAAGCGAGATCCGACCATGCGACTGCCGAACCAGCGGCGGCTTCGATTCTCGAGATGGGTGGCAGCGGATGGGTAAGCTTGTATCCGCGCGAGACGATTTCGACCTCCTGGATGGCGCTGATGGCCTTGTTGATGGAAAGGTCGAAGTGCTGTGCCGCGCGAATCAGCCTTTTGACGTCGGCGAGGACGGAGCGTTGCAGCGCCACCTTCTCCGAGGCACGGAAAGCGGTCGAGGTATTGAGACTACGGAGCGAGGAGGTAGACGCCACTGCAAGCGGGCTCGCGCTGTGGGAAAGGGTGAAGTGCAGCGTATCATCCATGATGCTGTGGCCAAGGAAGAGCACAAAGCTCCAAGTGAGGCAGGTGATGGTCAGGACGGTGGAGAGCCACAAGGTCCACGAGCCGCTAATGGGCGGGAGCAGCATCAAGGCCGAGATGCAAGCGGCGTTACGGGCTGCGCGACCTTGCGCATCGAGGCGGGGGAGTCTCGTCTCGGGTGTGGTTGTGGACGTTGCTGGTGGCCAGGCGAGCGATGCAGAGGCGTTGTCTGGCTCGACGAAGCATGCTTTGCGGATGGGCGAGGCACTGGCGCGACCGCCTCGGACGCGCTCGTGCAAGACGGCATCTTGAGCGCCGGCGTCGGGCGTCGAGGTGCGCGTTTGGAGAGGTGAGGCCGAGTCGTAGAACGATATGGACAAGCTCGGAGTGAGCAGGAACGACGAGCAGATGGCGTATTTGAACTTTTCGGCAAAGCTCGCGCCGCCGTCGTCGTGGGCGCTGCTGGTGCTTTTGCGTTCGCTGATGGCTGGGATGGATGCTGCCGGCTGTTTTGGGTTGGACTGAAAGTTGGAGAGTGTGTGCTGCGAAGTCGTCAAGCTCACGACCTTCCTTGTTGCGAGCAACACCAATGGGAGCAGGACCGTGTGGATGAGATCGCGGAGTGCGGTGGTGATCTGCATCAGCGAGTCTTGGGATGGCGCTGTGCTGGATTGTGATTGTGTGGTCGGTCGGCCGCCGCCATTCCTCAGCTCTGCGACGTCGGACGGAGATATTGACTTGGAATGATCATCGCGCTGAGTGTTGCCGTTGGGGACACGATCGGATCTTGCCGCCAGTGGGTGTGCTTGTGACTTGGCAGAGGCGGAACCCGAGCTCGCCTCTTGGTAGTCTTCCGATGCCGATGAAGGTATTGGGGGAGTGGACGCCTCGTCGAGTTCTGGTGCCTCGGCCTGCTGGAGGTACTGATCCAGCGGCGATCCTCCGAAGATGACGACTTCTGCCATGACTGAGCGGCGCGCCCTGCCCTTGTCGAGGCGTTGTCGGCAGTTGCGATACGTTGGTGCCTCGGCGATTCCGTGACTCGCGCCCGCGCGAATACGTGGCAGTGCCGGCTGGTGGTGGTGGTGGTGATGACGGTGAGACTCGGACGGCGTGGTTGCGGACCTTCCGACTCGCTTTTGGACTCGGGTCCCTCCGATGCGGCGACTATATTCCAGATAACGTGACGGGAAGAGGGCGCTCGGAGCGGGGCGGTGGGTGATGGTAGCAAGCAGCAGCGTCGGAAGCGGTGCGAATCGCAGGTCAGCATGAATTTGGCGGTCGCGAGGAAATTAGAGCACACTCTCGGCAGCCGAACGAGTATTCTCCGCTCGGTGGAGCTCTCACGCCTCAGCTTAGCGCGTCTGCCTCTTGGAAGTGGCTTGCTTCCGTGGGCTCAAAAGAGACGTGTGCACTGCACTGTTGGTGGGAGTGGGGAGGGGGGGGCGAAGCGGACCATTGCATCCTTGCAGCGCTTTCTGAACCGGGCCGCGGTACAGCTTCCGAAGCGGAGAGTTGCAGCAGACTGCACGCTGCTGGCGGTGAAATAGCTCGTGCTTTGAGTCGAGTTGAGTCGTGTCGATTCGAGGCAGGAGTTGGATTGCCGAGCGGCAGATCCACCTCTTGCAGGCTGGGCGATCTTCACGGGCTTGCGACATGTGTCTTCTGTGTGTCGCTTTGGGGCTTGGCTCTTGAGCAGCTGGCAGCCCCTGAATGGCGGCTGCGACCCCAACTCGCTTAAGACCAACACGCGTCTGGGCGGCGCGTCGGTGGGCGTAAGAGAGTCGTGCGCTGGGCCGCCAATCTGAGCGTGAACCCTCGAAGCTGGGGTGCGTGTCTCAGTGGCTGGCCCGCATGCCACCTTTTGGCCACTTTGTTTCGAGCAGGCTCGCAGAACGCTTCACCCAACCGACCTTGACTGCTCGCAGATCTTCTCAATCCCTTTCGACAAAGCATGTTATGCAAGTCAACAGTCCATTTAAAATTATGCTCGGCTCCAGCTTATCGCGCTCCGGCTTGCACGGCAACAGACAGCTAGAACGGAGGACGATGCTTTTTCGTGCCTTATTTAGCACGCCTTTTATCCTTTTTTTTTTTTTGTGGCTTCTGCTTCCGAGCGCCGCAAACACACCGACGCCCTCTTGCACAAGCGGCTAACAGGATCAAAAGAAGGTCGAGTTGAGACCCTTTCCAACGTGTCGGCTTCACCTCAAAGACGTTGATTGCGAAGAGTAGACAGCAAGTCCCGGGACCAAGAAGAACAAAAATAAAAAGAGCAAAAAGAAGCGTCCGGACAGCCGGAATCGAACCGGCGACCTATGGTGCTTTTCCGTTAATACCGGATTAGGGTTTCCAATTACAAACCATCGCTACTTCCAACTGAGCTATGTCCGGTAGAGTGGTCGGAGGGAGAAAGCATGCGTACATAAAAGCTAGCACTGCTTGGTTCGATACGCCTGGATCTTGCCTACAGCTTAGCTCCGAGGGTCATGCAGCGTCGACCGACTTGTCGCCAATCTGTGATTCTCTCCAAGCCTATCTACAAGCCTGGTCGCAGTCTGAGGGCCGAGCTGGACTTGTGAATGGAGGAAGGCACGCGCGACACGGCGGATGTCCGTGGTGCTGAAAGCCGTGTCGCCGGCTTCGATGCGGGAAGGCGAAGAAACGCCACGCGTCCAAGGCCGGCTTCCCCCAAAACGCCATCCCGAGTCCAAACGCCACCGCCACTTTGCATGCTGGAAGCCGGCCTCGCTTTGCACCAAGTCAAGATCGTTGCTAAGTTACCTTGGGGCTTCGACTCCAAGGGGAATTCATTGCGTCGACAATGAGTGACTTCGGGATGCCTGTGCGATGGAACGCCCGCGGGGAGGCATCCCAGAGGGAGGCACATTCGCTTGGATCGGACACGGGTCCAAAAGGAATTCCATCAAAGAAACGAGGACTGACCTCGCATAGAGAGAGAGAGGCTCATGGGGGCGAGATGGGCAACAGCTAAGTTACAGGAGAGGACGAGAGTGGCAGGCTCTGGACTTTGCTAGGCGGCGCCCACCTCGGACGTGCGCTGTGCAGCATGCATGCACGAATGCGCGGCTGCATCTTTGGCAGCTTCATCGGTACAGGCAAGCCAGCCATGAAGCTGGACACTGATCGACACTTTGCTCTCCGCCGGATCTTTAGAGCTTGACCGAAACATTCACAGCCAAAAAGTCCCACTCTTGGGCTCTTGACAGCCCGGCTTTGGCGAGTGCTGGCAAAAGCTTAGCTGTCAGAGGGATATGAGAGAGACAGAGAGACCAGACCAGACCCGACCCTACTGCCTCCCGGCTGAACCGCAACGTGGCACTGCCACTGGGCACCTGACGCCTCTTGCCTTCCGCTGGGATCAACGCGAGGAACCACCGTCTCACTGTCGGATCCACCAGGGCATCCCGACAGATTCAAGCTTCAAGACGGTCGAGGCCGAGACTAATGCCAGCGTTTACCGAGCCTCGTCCAATGCAGCGCGGACTGCAGAGGCAGCAGCCGCTAGCAGCAGCCAGCATGACCAGCAGCAACTTAGCAGCAGCAGCAGCAGCACCTCCCCGACCCACGGAGGATGCAGCTAAGATGCTTTGAATTCCAAAAGGCTCTTTTTTTGGGCGAATTGGAGGAGGGTTGAATTCAAAATCGTTCATTTTGGATTTCCGCGACTGAAAAGGTGCCCGCCGAGGTTGAGCCGTCGTCGGTCGCTCCTTCGGAGCGTAAGTTACTGTAGCAGCACGGTCGGAGCGGTGCCGACTGGAGAGCATAGCATCGGCCTGCATTCGGCCGCTACGGTGGGGCTGAAGATAGCTTCTTCGGTCGGAAGCATCGATGAGCAGCAGCGACAAAGCCAGCCAGGCAGGCAGGCGGCAGAGAAGCGGCTAAGAGGAAAGCAAAGCCTACGGAATCAGGCAGGCGCTGGAGGCGAAATTGCGAATCGCTGCAATTTGCTGGATCGGATTGGATTGGACTGCGCCCACCCAGCCTCGGGTCGCACGCACGCACACCGCAGCGCGAGACGCACTTGAGCCACACTCTCCAAGGCGGAGACGCGCACCCACGCAGAGGCACACGCGCGCCCGACCGGCGACACGCATGCACCTCATCCACGCACGCACGCCCTCTGTGTTTTCGCTCTCCAGATCCAGCAGGCCTGCACTGAATGGATGCATCTTCGCGTCGTGCTTGGTTGCGGTTGCCTAGTTTGGCTGCCTTTTTGCCGTCGCCGTCGCCTTTGGCTGTGCCTTCTGATTCCCGCCCTCGCAAGCTGGCTCCTCTGCAGATCCCTCTCGCCGCACGGATTTCCGTGGTGGGCTCGCGCGCGCTCTCTTTCTTTCTCTCTCTCTCTCTCGCACTTCGCACCTTGACCGCCCTGCCTGTTTGACATCGCCATCGCGGCTGCTTGTCCGGCCTCTTCCTCCTCCTCTGGTTGGTCTCGCAGCGTCCGTCCGTCTCGTCGTCCGAGCCAGTCGCCCGCCCATCGTCCGCTCCCTCTCCAACCACCATCTCTCGGTCGCCCCCTCTCTGAACATTCGCACGCACCCCTCCGGCTCCGTTGGATCTCGACTCGTCAAGGAATTCTAGCCCGCGTAATCAACCACTTGGCATCACTGCGCCATCAGCCGCCCGCCGCCGCCCGAGCTGGCCCCCTCGCACCGCATCGCACATACACGCCGCTTCCGTGGTCTTCTGGCCTCGCGCTACCCGCCTTCTACAAAGAGCGGAGCTGCCAGTCGCACATTGCCGCTTCTTCTCAACTTCGGTCGTCTTCGCGCTCTTGCTTGCTCGCGTGGTTGGTGCGCTCCAGTCGATAAAGTCAAGCAGCTCCTCCCGTCAGCTGGCGATCCGATCGCGCGCTCGCTTGACCTAGAGCTCCGCACACCTGCTCTCTGCCTGCAGCCTTCAGGCTGAGCATCGGCTGGCCCCCCTGCAACCCGCCGTCCCCTCGCACACGACCATGTCAGAAAAGACGGCCTTTCTCTCGCCATCCATGTCTCCCTCGTCCTCCTCCTCAGGCGGCAATCCGCCGCCACCCTACGGCTTCCACCACCTCCCGCACTCGCCAACAGGCTCACGCACACCAAGCCGTCCAGGCTCCCCACCACACGGCGGCAGCGTCCCCTCCCCCGGCGGCGTACCGGGCACCTTTGTCCTCAACCTCGGCAAGTTTGGCGGCTTCTTCATCATCCGCATACCTCCCTCCGTACAGAAGGTACTCGGCGTCGTGCTGCGCAAATGGAAGACGCTCGTCTTCGTCACGCTCGTCGGCGCGCTCGCCGCCTTCGGCCTCTTCGGCGCCATGTCCACAGAGTGGCGCGAGATGACCTACTACCGCGTCGACCCTTACCCCGTCGTCCCAGCCGGCGGCCACAAGTCCGGCGCATCCTCCTCCAGCCCCTTCCATCCCCCCTCATCACGTCCCATCACCCCGCCCAAGTTCGGCGCCTGTCTCGGCCCCAAGGGCGTACCCATCCCGCGCGCGCCGCTCGAGGTCTACGACACGCCCGACACGCATCCCGTCCCCCTCGTCGGCAGCTACGAGGCCGCCGGCATGGACTTTGGCAAGTGCATGACCTACCGCTCGCGCTACGCCATGTACTCGGACCAGGCGCTCAACATCACCTATCGCAAGGACATGTCGGAGCTCGAGTCGTACTTTGCAAAGGCCGAGGACTACGACGACGACCCGGACAACGTCAAGCCTCTCAAGCAGAAGCCCAAGGCCTCGTCTGCCGCCAACTCCACCGCAACCGGCACCGGCACCGGCACCGCCGCCGCCGCCGAAGCTTCCGCCACCCAGCGCGAGAAGGTCGACCCGCTCTACGGCCCACGCAAGCCCGAGGGCATGAGCGAGGGCGAGTGGGAGGGACGTCTGCGCGACCGACTGTGGCGCGCCAACGTGCTCAGCGAAGAACTCGGCCCATCGAGCTACCCGGACTGGCGTGCGCTCATGGACGCCTGCTACCAGAAGAGGCTGCACGACCGTGGCATGGCCGGCGGCGTGGACCACTTTGACCCGCACAACCTGCCCACCAGCGAGGAGCCGCACACGAGCGGCGGCCGCTCGCACGTCTTCACCACACCCGAGACCAAGCGCACGGCGATCGTCATGCGCTCCTACGAGGGCTACGCCTGGCGCGAGGACGACATCCTCAACATGCGCGCGCTCATCAGCGAGCTCTCGCTCAACAATCCCAACACGCCCTACGACGTGCGCATCCTGGTCGAGGTCAAGTCGCGCCACCTCGCCGTGTTCACCTCGGAGTGGGACCGCCTCAACGTGCTGCGCTCGAGCGTGCCGCGCGAGTTCTGGGGCCTCGTGGAGCTGTGGACCGAGGACGAGATGTGCGCGCTCTACCCGGGCCTGCCGGGCAAGTTCCTCAACAAGATGTTTGCGCAGACCTCGTACCGCTCGTGTCTGATGGCGCTGCAGAAGTTCTACCTGGACCACCAGGAGTACGACTTTATGTACAACTGGGAGATGGACGTGCGCTACATTGGCAACTACCTCGACTTTTTCGAGGGCATCGAGGAGTACTCGCGCAACGAGCCGCTCCACTCGGGCATGGACAAGTACGACACCTGGCTGGTGCGCAACGTGACGCTCTCCGAAAACAACTGGCGCGACAACACCAGCCTCACCGTCGGACGCGGGCAGGAGGCGGATCTGATCACGCTCGGCCCCATCTTTGATCCCAGAGGCTCCGGATGGTACTGGGAGTACGACGTGCAGAACTACCCACCGGGGCAGAACACGGACCGTCGCGCGTCGATCGGCACCAACATGCGCATGAGCCGCGGACTGCTCGAGGCGATGAACGTGGTGAACGCCGAGGCGAAGAAGTCGCTGCACTGCGAGGCGTGGCCGACGACGCTGGTGCTGCACTCGCAGCTGCCCATGTCGCACGAGCACTCGTTCTACCCCGAGGCGGGTTTTACGCACAATCTGCCGCTGCCGTTCAAGGGCGTGTTTGTGCCGCATCCGGTGTACTTCCGCCACGTGTGGGAGCCCGAGGTGCTGCACAACCGCATCAACCGACCGGACTTCTACAAGAAGATCAACGAAAAGGTGATGCGCGACTCGTCGTTCTACTACGACGGCAAGCACAGCAGGGAGGTCTACGTCGGCTGGAAGGAGAAGGAGAACGTGTGCCGTGCGCCGATGCTGCTGCACCCGATCAAGCGCGTCAACTGAGGCGGGCGTCGAGCCTTTGCATTCCCCTCTCTCTTTTCGTCTTCTCCTTGGCCGCCGAACCCGGCCCTCGTGCCCGCATTCCGATCCAAGCCATACCCACACGAGGGTCTTTTGACTGCATCTTGCCAAAGCAGCCGCACCTGCGCAGCCTCTTGCCACCGTGTAAAACATGATTCCGCTATTTGTGGCTCTACCCTCACCTCATCGTTTCCCCCAACCTTGCTGTTCGGGCTTGGTCTCCTGCTCTCGCCCAACACACGACGTGTAAATACTCTCCAACTGCAAAGAACATTCAAGATGACCAGGTGTGAATGATGGTCGCGAGAAGTGTCGCTTCCATCGTCGACGGTGAGGGCAAAAAACATACTGATGTTAGGTCTCTGCCGTTCGAGGTGGAGGTTGTTTGGTCCGCACGGGACACGAGAAATGCTGAGCTCCGCATCGGGGAGAATTGCATGCAAAGTGGCACCGGCGGACTGGCACACAACAATCTAACTTACTTGCAACTGCAGCAAAGGCTCAAAGATACGAACAGCAGACCACCGTGTGGGGATCGGTGATGAGCCGGTCAAGACAAGACAAGGCCGAAAGCAACAACGGCAGCGGGGTTGTGGGCGCTCGTTCAGTGTGCCTGTGTGCCTGGTTGGAGCGAGTGTGGAGAAAAGAGCGGCGCGTCGATTTTGGACGGCAATTCCGCTGCAAGTCTTTGAGCGGACTATGGCTCGTGCTTTTGTGTGTGTGTGTGTGTAAGAGAGTGTGTGGGTGTGGGTGTGCATGTGCATGAGATGGACGCTTCGCTGTTGCTCTCAACCTCCACCCTCCATCCATCAATCTGCGCTGCATCCCTCTCGCTGCCTCAGCCGCACGACGAGCCATGCTGCCAGTCGACTGAAGTCACAGCAAAGTCAAGCTCTTGCTCATCTTCCCTCTCCATCGCACCAAGCATCCACCCTGCCAGTTGTACGCTCGTCAAGATGGAGGATGCCTTGTCGCTCCAAAAGTCCAAGGCGCAGTGGCTCGCCGCTCTCGACGATGCCATCGATACCTTCCGCACCCTCGTCGCAGAGTCGGCCTCCAAGGCATGGAAGCCCGTCAGCCTCGGCGGAAGCACGCCCGCTACTCCGAATCTCGCCTCCACCTCGAGCTTCCCCATGACGCCTTCCCAAAGCGCTGCCTCGTCTGGCGCTACCAAAACACCCGCAGCTTCACGCAGCAAGAAGCGCGACTCGTCCTCCCTTCGCCATGTCGAGTCCATCGAAGACTTTGACTCGCATACCGACTCGCCCTCATCGGCTGCAGGTGCTTCCACCGCTTCGCCGGCGCCCCAAAAGCCCTCCGCTTCCGACCCGCAGCCCTTCCGCATCGGCCGATTCCGTCCAGACCAGGTGGCCGTCCATCGCAGAACCAGAAAGGGCCCCGACATCTACAGAGCTGTCTCCGAGGTCGCCTACGACGGCACCGCAGACCTTCATGCCTTCCGCTCCGTCCTCCAGACCGCCGAGACCCGCGCTTCTTGGGACCGCCTCGTCCAGTCGGCAGAGCTCGTCGAGCAGCTCGACCCCTTCACCCGCATCAACAAGGTCCACTATCGCCTAGGATGGCCTGCTAGCCCTCGCGACGCCATCGTCATCAACCGAACCCTCGCCGACGACGCCACCCTCATAGACATCTCCACCTCGCTGCCGCGCTCTCCCGACGCCCCTTCCTACCTGCGTCCCGCTCCACCCTGCGTCCGATCGCACGTACACCTCATGGCATGGTGCATCCAGATCCTTCCGCCAGAGCCTTCTACATCATCCTCCTCAACCACAAGGTCCAAGTCGACGTCGTCCTCCGCGCCCCTTCGCTCCTTGCCACGCATCAAGCTTTCGGTATTCTGGTCCTGGGACCTTCGAGGCGCATGGATGGGCATGCCCTCCGGCGGCCTCGGCATGCATCTGCCAGAGCTCATCAAGGCGCTCGCATTCCACGTTCAAGACTACAGCGACAAGATCCCCGCGCTCACCAACTATGGCAGCTGCGTCGAAGTGCTCACAAGCACCTTCGACCCTACCCGAGACACGCTCGCCACCGAGTACGCCGTCGTTGAGGAAGATGCAGCCGCACGCCAGGCTGAAGACCGCGCAGAAAAGGATCTCGACACCGTTCACCTTTTGCGCTCTCGTCGAAAGCTCCAAGCCACCGTCGAGTTCCTCCTTCCCTCCTCAGAAGGCTGGGATGTCAGGGTCCAAGCCAAAGGCCAGACATTATCGCCCACGGCAGATGCAGATGCTTCCGCCGAGGATGGCCCATTGTGGCGTGCAACAGCAGAGAGGGCATCGGGCTCCCGCTTCACTCTCCTCTCCATCCGCCACAAGACGCTCGACAGCCCCGATCAGTTAGCCAGAATTACCGTCAGGATCCAACGTGTGGCGGCAAGCACCGAGCTCCGACTCAACGATGCGCCCTTGAACATTGAGCATGTCGAGCCGCGCACCGCTGCAGCTTTGGCACAGCCTCTCCTCGAGGACACCGCGAGCATCTCGGAGATCAGCGTCGCCACCACCTCCACCGGCAGCGCCGCCTCTTTCAACGTCGGCACCGCTGCAAACGCCTCGCGCTCCGGAACGCCCAACCTCGGCTCGGCGCACCAGATCAACAATCAGATCCGCCGCAACTACATCTATTTCACAAGCCTGCTCCAGGAGCCAGAGGCAAAGTGGAAGCCCATCAGCGACATGAAGGGCGTCACCGTCACCCAGCTCGACTCGATCGACCCCACCCTCGTCGTCTACCGCGCAGAGGCCACCTTTGTGGGCGTTAGCGTGTGGGACCTCTTTTCCACCATCGGAAATGCAGGCGCGCGCGCCTACTGGGACAAGGCGCTCGACGACGCCGTGCTTCTCACCGACATCAACGAGCTCAGCTCGCTCTGGCACACAAAGACCAAGCCCAGCTGGCCCGTCAGCGCCCGCGACACCGTCGTGATCCAGACCGCCTACAAATCTCCCACCTCGGTCCACATCTTCTCCTTCTCCACCGACGATCGCGCACAGCTGCCCGCCATCCCGCCCGTCGAGTCCGGCACCATCCGCACCCAGATCGACCTGCGCGGCTGGTCCGTCGAGGCGCTCTCGCCCACCACCGTCCACGTCACCATGCTCGAGCAGTCGGACCCCAAGGGCTGGACCAGCAAGTCGGCCACGCCCGCCGCCATGGTCAGCGCCGTAGCCGGCGTGGGCGAATATGCCATCAAGTTCGGCAGCCCTCCCGTCCTGACGCGCCTGCTCGGCGCAAAGGCAAAGGTGTCGCGCTACGACCATGAGAAGGCCACCTTCCGCGTCGAGTACGCGTGCGATGTGCCCCTCGACGACGATCTCGGCGATGCGCCCAACGTCGAGTGCGAGATCCGGTGCGACGTCGAAACGTGGGCCACCTCGCTCGATCTGGTCGTCGACCCGCCGCCCATCTCCATCTCGTGCCTCCGAAGGCACAAGCTGTCCCAAGGCGGCGGCGGGCTCTGGCTCACCATCGAGCATGCCGTTGCGTCGCTCGAGGACGATTCGGCTCGCATCATCATCCGCCGCGGCACCTCGCGCGACAAGGGAGCCGTCCACGTGAACGGAGCAAGCATCAAGGTGGACGTCGACGAGCTCAACGATGAGCAGGTGCAGCAGCTTAGCCGCCAGAAGCGATCCAAACCGCAGCGTGTCCCTCTCGACCTGATCAATCCGGCGCGTAAACCGACCGAAGAGGCAGCAGCGGCCACGACCAAGACCGGCGGTGCAGATGCAAGCGCGGCCGGCAGCGGTGAGTCGGGCAAGGAACAAGGGGCTCGACAAAGCGCAGAAAATGGGACGGGCGAGCGCCGGCTCTCGGATAGCACATCCACGACCGCAGCGGCTGGTGTGGGTGCGAGCGCAGCCACCGAAGCAAAGAAGCGAGAGCGAGGCGACTCGACCAGCCAACCTGCCGCTGCGGTGCCGTTTTCGGACGAGACGCCGCGCCAGCCCATGACGTGTGCTCTGGACGTGCTCTTCCTGCTTCGTCGAATCCATGCGGAGCGCTCGCCCGACCCGGCGGGCACGCCTGCCGGATGGGCGCTGGTCACCGAGCGCAACGGCCTGTACGTGCGCAGGAAGCTCATGGAATCCATCTCGAGCACCGTGCTCGTGCAGCGCGGCGACAAGGTCGTCCAGGGCCTCTCTGCCGAGGATTTGCTCGACGTCGTCGCCAACCTGCGCAGCCGAAAGCAGTGGGACGACAAGATCGAATCCACCACCTTGCTCGAAAGCTATGGCGACGGTTCGTTCACGTCGTTCATCACGACCAAGGCGAGCTTTCCGTTCCGCGGCCGCGCGTTCCACCTGGCGAGTCTGACTGCGCGTGGCGCGCCGCCGTCGAGCAACGGTGCGACGAGCCCGGGCGAGGCGCCGCTGTCGAGCTCGGCATCGTCGTGGTCTGGGCCGGCCGTGTACTTCCATGCCTCGGCGTCGTTCCCGCAGCAGGACTTCGGATTCGCACCGGACCGCCTCAACCCCAACGGGCTGCCGTTCGGCAAGGTGCTCATCGACGGCTGGATTCTCGAGACGCTCGATCCGTACAGCTCGACGAGCTTCCAGATTCCATCGACGCGCTGCACGCACGTGGTGGCAGTCGACTATGCGGGCAGCCTGCCCGTCGCGGTCAACACCATGTGGAACGCCAACCTGCCACGCTCCGTGCTGCTGGTCGAGGACTATCTCAAGGCGCGCGGCTCGATCCCGTCGGTCAAGACGCCGCCGGCGTGCCTGCAGGTGCTCGGCGATGGTCGCGATGAGGACCAGGGCTTTGTGTGGTCGCTCAAGGATCCTCAGCGCAAGAATCTGCTCGTCTCGTCGAGCTTTGATCCGGCGACGCGCACGTATGTTGCGGTGAGCATGCACCGCCCCAGCGCCGCGTCTGCAGCCGAGGAGGTGCCGGGCCTGCTGCCTGCCGCGTCGATCGTGAGCAACGGCAAGCCGCGGCCGCCGCGGTCGTCGGACGCCTCGATGACCAAGGGCGTCGCCGAGAAGCTCACGCAGGCTATCAACGCCGCGCCGGGTACGCCGCTGCTCGGCTCGGCTGCACCACCGATCAACTCGAGTGCCGATCAGGACTCGAGCCTGTCGCGCGCCACGAGCATGCACTCGATCACGAGCGCGTCGGCGGCCAGTACGGCGTCGACCATCCGCCGCCGCCCGAGCTCCATCCACACCGACTCGCGCAACGCCAAGGACCTCATCCTCATGGAGGTCGAGATCGAGCTGCGCCACTACCACAAGGGATACGACGTGCAGTGCTTCTCCGAATTCGCGCCGCTTGACGCATCCGTCTCGGACTCGGCGACGGCTGCCTTGCCGAAGCAAGATCGGTCTGCTGCTGGTGGCGAGACGGCCACGTCGGTGCACGACAAAGCCGGCGTCAACGCGAGCCGAGGTGCAGAGGCAGGCAAGCCGAAGCCGCCGTTCTCGCTCAGGATGGCGCCCGAAAAGTCAAACGACCTGCCGGTGCAGCTCAAAGTGTACGACCTGCCACCGAGTGCCGTGCTGGCAGCGACGCTCGATCCGTCGGCGCGACCGCGCAAGCACCTGGTGCGCGTCACAGTCCCAACCACGTCGTTCCTCGACCCGGTCGAAGACCCGCTAACCGGCTCCAAGCCCCCGGACACGCCGGTGTGGTACACAAACCTGCTGGAGCGCGGCGCGGTGCTGCGGCTGATGGTGAAGCCGCTCAAAAGCGAGGGTGCGGAAGCCGACCCCGCCGGCGTGCCACGCGATGCCAACGGTACACTGGTCTTCGCCACGCCCGTGGGCAAAGTGGCGGTGCGCAGCGGCGACGTGAAGCTCGACATTGTGCATGTCAACCAGACCTCGGCGATGCTGCAGCGCGAGCAGATTGGCATCGAGCCCATGACGCAGCTCAAGCGGATCGCGCCGCCGCGCGCGCGCTCGGCGCGCAAATCGGGGCTCGAGGGTGCGGCCGCCACGATGGACGACGGACGGCTGCCCGAGGCGCTGCGTCGGCCAGTGGCACAGCGGACGGATCTGTTGCAGCCGCCCGCTGCGGTGCAGGCGGATGCGGGCAAGGACGATGCCAAGGGTGCCAAGAGTGCGACTGGTGTTGCCGACAAGGCCGCTCGGCCGGCAACGGGCGTGGAGAAGAGCGGCAAGGCCGGGTCGCTGGCGCCTTCGTCGGCGGCGGGATCGGCCAACGGCTCGGCTGCGGGGTCCGCGCCGCCTTCGCGCGCCGCGACGCCGTCGGCGCCCACGAGCGCCGGCGCGCAGATCATGAGCATGTTCGGGTCGTACCCCCTGTCGCGCCTGGGCACAGGTAGCGCGCTGGCGTCGTCGCTCACGTCGGTCTCGTCCGTAACAGCGCGTGGCAGCAGCGTAGCGTCATCGTCGTCGGCCAGAACCAACGCCGAGGCGCTTGCCGCCAGCGACCGCGCCAAGCACCCGCGCGCGGCAGACAAGGGCGACAAAGCCGCCACCGCACCTGACGCCGCCGGTGCTTCGCTCGACGAGCGGGGTAGTGCCGGTGAGGTTGTGGTCGAGGCAGCCGCAAGTGCGGGTAGCACCCTCGCGCAGGCGACCAAGGACGCCATTTCGGCCCTGGGCGGCGTATGGCGTTCCGAGGCGCAGTTTCGACTGTCGACACTCGTGCTGGTGGCGGTGGCGGCGTTTTTGGTCGGCTCGCTCATGCGCTCCATGCTGGCGCCCCTCGACTTTGTACTCGCCCCCACGGGGGTACCGCAGCCCGCGGCGGATGGCGACTTTACCCAGCTCGTGCGTAGTCTGCGTGCGGGTGAGAGCGGCAAGATCGATAGGCTCGTGGAGCAGCTAGGCAGCAGCGCGAAGGGTGGGGGTGGCGTGACGCAGATGCAGTGGACGCAGCTGCGGCGCCTCGTGCATGTGCCCGTGCCCGTGCTCGGGTGGGACATTGTACTTGCCGGCATACGTCGGCGTGGCTAGCTGAGACTCTCAATTGCAATGCAAGCCTTTTCCACACCGGACATTCGAATGCGCGGGTATCATTGAGATTTTCTCTGTGATGCGGGAGGTGTTGTGGGGGGTTAGGACCAAGTTTGGAGGTTGATCCACGGAGCAGCGTCGTTGTGGAAGGGTTTGGACACGTTTGCGTGGGCCTCGAATCGACCGATATGCACGACTGCAGTAGCGGCAGGTACAGCAAGGCTGTAGAGCGAGGTTGCGGTGTATGCTGTGAGTTTGGCAGCAGTGAGTGTGGCTACGGCTGTGATGGATGTGAGGAGGAGCGTGGCGAAGAGTTGTTCCCAGGGTCGCATGACGTTGAGCGCAAAGGTGGGGCTAACCACCATCCATACCCGCCACAGTTTATCTTGCCCTGGCATTGTTGCGACTTGAACGCGTGTGCGGTTTGCACGATGAGTTGCGGATGCAGACATTGTTGATAGCGTATCGACGATAGAGGGCAGTGCAGAAGGGGGTCTTGATATACCTCCGCACACCGTTCTTCCGGCGGAATGCACCGCCTACGATAACCCCGCGGTTCCTTGTCTTGACCCCTCCTGCGAACCGTACCTAAGCTCCGGAGCGGATTTGTCGACGTTCGAAAGCATACGCTAGAGACACACTTAGACTTCCCCAGGCTAGGGGTCGGTGTGCTAAAAGCATCGTCCGCTCTGGTACCGGCTAAATTACAAGCTCCACCCCACGCTTGCGTCCAACTCTCAATGTGTACCTCCTTTCAAGGTGGAGAGGAGTGCCGGCGGAAGCACGACATCGAGCTCGTGCACAGTCATACCTGCCTCAAGGTCGCGGCGTCGATACTTTGCCCCTAACCATGTCATTTCGGGCGCAGGACGTCATACTTCGTCACTGAACAGCTTTGATGGCTGTGCAACGATGCTCGCTTCTTATGGTCGATCATCGCACGGGATCTTTCACGCTCCGGATGCCATCCTTGGACGCCTTGACGGTGCGGACAGCGCTGAGCATGTTTGCGAGCCGACGTTCGCACGTGTTCCTGCTGATGCTCGCGCAAATTGCGCGGCCGTCGACTCGCCCAAGGACGGTCTCGGTACTTTTGCCACCTCGACCTCGTGACAGTCTGGAGAATTCGGATTTTGCATGGTATGATCCGGCGATGCCTGGCACGGATGAGCATGTGTGTGAATCGAACTCGCAAGTCCACATCAGACCCGGATGCACGCGCAGGAAGTTCTGCGACCCCACGAAGTCGCCTACACATCGCAGAGCTCAGCGTCGTCTGTCATCCTTACCATTCGGGTGCACAGCCTGGTCACCACTGCTCTTGCTTTCTACCTTTCATGACGACGGCTGGATCGCATGTGTGCTCAGACTCGTGCCGCATGTTACGAGGCAGACACCGCTTCGTCAAAGCCCAAGCATTGCGAATTGGGGCCTGGTGACAATGCAAGTTCCCGTTCAGGATGCTGCTCGATAGATTCGATGGGCTGCTCCCGAGCATGCGCACAAGACGAAGGGCTGTCCGATTTCTGCGAATTGACCCATGATGACACTTTGCTCTCGCTCAGGTTCGCCAAGAACCGCCAACTTTCGATGTTGAAAGACCACATACCGCGTCTCCTGACCAAGATCCCCCGCTTGGTCTGGCGCAAGACACTCTTGACACTCGAGAGACTGTGTTCGGCCCTCTGCCAGTATGTGCGTGCAGTCTCTCTTTTCTGCTAAAGGGGACTTTTGCTGCTCAGCATGGTGTGCGCATTGCAATGCTCCCATGTGCCGATGGAAGACTCTTCATCGCCCATGGCTGTCGATCAAAGCTGTCGAATTGGCAACGTGAGTCGAGCATCGTTGCAAGTGAGGCCTATACATGCGTGGGCGGCAGGGCGACACCCTGAACTGACTCGAGTATGCTTGTGCGTGAATCCTAGCGCAATACACTCGTCTAAGTCAAGAGGCTGCCTCCTACTGCAGGCCGTCCTTCCTCAATTGCCCTCACTCGTGCACTCTTTCAGCTCATCCAAAGCGCCAACTCTTGCTTGACCATCCCGGCAGCGCGCAGGCTGTCGCGCAAGAAGCAACCGCTTTGACCCTCGTGAGAACTGCCTGGATCTGCCTTGTGCTAGTCGTGACAGCTGTACACACGTCCAGCCTCCTCGTCTCATCTCGCACCCTTCACACAGCCACCACTTCGACCGCGCCCATCTCACGCGCCTCTTCCATGCTACACTACGCCGACAGCTTGTAGATCCCCGCGCAGAATGCCTCACAAGAATCGCCTTGATCTTCGTTGCTCGCACACATCACACTCCACACACACAGCTTCGACCTTATCCATGCATTGCCGCCTGCTGTGGCACTAGACCAATCCTGCAGCCTGGAGATTGTCGCGCAGAATACTATCCTTGACGCTAATCAGAATCGCCTTGATCTGCCTCGTACTCGTCGCGACGGTGGTATGCACATACAACCTCCTCTTCCCCGCCCCCTTATCATCCTCGGCTCTCCTGAGCTGATCCCTAAACTTGGCTCTAAACCACCTCCAGACGGCTTCGAAGTCGTCATCCCCTTGATACTCCGGCCAGAAGCTACACAAGCTCCTGCCTTGGCGCAACTTTTTCTCGAGCAGATCGATCTTGTTCAGAAACAAGATCACGCTCGCCCCCCTCAGCAGCGGATGCGTTACGACCTGGGTGAACAACGCAAAGGTATCTGCGAGGCGATTTGTCGAAGGGTCTTCGATGAGCGGTTGGTCGAAGGCCGAGAGTGGGGCGAGGAAGATGATCGACTGGACGTCATCTAGAAAAGGGACCCAGGCGGCGCGTTGGCTTCGGCTGCCGCCTACGTCAAAGATCCGGTAGGTGAGTGAGCGGTCTATGCGGAAGATATCCTCGGTTACGCCGAGCGTACGCACGCGCGAGTGCAGGATATCCTCGTCTGAAGGCGAGTACCCCGGAGCCACAATACGCGCATATGCTTCGAGAAAGTACGACGTGGCCGCTTCCGATTGCGCATCGAGGAATACTCCGCGCTTGCGCAGGGCTCGACAGCGCACGTCGTCGTCCCACAGCGCCATCACATCGGCCTGAATCGACCGCAGCAGCACCAGCGCATCGCCCTCGTCGTCGTCTGCCTCCTCGTCGCGACGTGATCGTTCCTGCACCGAACTTCGACCGGCTGCTGGGAGCGAGAGCGAGCGACGCGCATAGGTAAACAGGCGTTCCTGCCATCCCGGCCGCAGCAGCAGCAGACTCTTGTCGCCCACCTTTGTGCGTCTTGTCGTCCCAGGTACGCCCGAGTGCACCTTTGAACCCGGGTCGTTCACAGGCGCTTCTTCGCCAAACGCGCCCAATTGGCTGCGTAGCTCCGACTCGAGCTGCATGACTTTTGGCAGATGACGCTCCCAGGCCGTGTTGGACGGGCTGAATGCTCTTGCTGATGCGCCCTCTACCGCAGACCCTGTTGCAGACGAAGGGCTGACTGCACGCATGCTGTGTGGAGAGGCAGGGGATGCGGGCGATTCGAGGCGGGCCAGCTCGAGCGACTTGCGTTCGGCACGCTCGTGGTGGTATCGCTCGAGCGTCTGCAGGAGCACACGCACACTGGCGGTGAGGTTAAGCACGACGATGCTCGTCCATCCCTTGCGTTCGCGCTCATGCGCCTCTGGGTCGTACAGCAGACGCATCTGCTTGAGCACAGTCGTCTTTCCCGCACCCGCCTGACCGAGCAACACCATCTTGTACACACGACCCTTTTTGCCGGCCTCCAAACTGGTAGAGGTGCTGCAGGAATCGGGGTGTTTGAGCAGCTTGTCGATTTGGTCGGATCGTAGTTTGGCCTGCTTTTCCTGGTGCCGCCTCACCTGGCGCTGCGCCTGGGTCTCGTTGGAAGCCGGTAGGAGGGCGAGTGAGAGGGGATCGCGGTCGATAGGGGCCATGTTGCGAGACTGCTTGCGTCGGATGTCCCGACTCGATACCGGCGACATTTCTCGCCTCGAGAAACTCGACCAGATGGCGTGCAGCGTGCTCGACTTTATATGGACGACTGATCAAGGAACGGACTTGATCAGACTTGTGAAGAACGCTAGATGAAGAAGGCGGCTGTGAGTGTTG